CATCGCTTGTCATCAGAGAAACCCAAATTAAAACCACCATGAGATATCACCTCACACCAGTAAGGAACACCATCATCGAAAAGACAAACAACAACAAATGTTGGCAAGGTTGTGGAAAAAGGGGAACAGTCCTACACTGCTGGAGGGAATGTAAATTAGTTCAACCATTGTGGAAAGCAGTATGGAGGTTCCTCAAAAAACTCAAAATAGAAATACCATTTGACCCAGGAATTCCACTTCCAGGAATTAACCTAAGAATGCAGCACTCCAGTTTGAAAAACACAGATGCACCCCTATGTTTATCGCTGCACTATTTACAGTAACCAAGATATGGAAGCAACCTAAATGTCCACCAGTAGATGAATGGATAAAGAAGATGTGGTACATATACACAATGGAATATTACTCAGCCATAAGAAAAAAACAGATTCTGCCATTTGCAACAACTTGGATGGAGCTAAAGGGCATTATGCTCAGTGAAATAAGCCAGGTGGAGAAAGAGAAGTACCAAATGATTTCACTCATATGTGGAGTATAAGAACAAAGAAAAACTGAAGGAACAAAACAGCAGCAGAATCACAGAACCCAAGAATGGACTAATAGTTACCAAAGGGAAAGGGACTGGGGAGGATCGGTGGGAAGGGAGGGACAAAGGCGGGGAAAAAGAAAGGGGGCATTACGATTAGCATCTATAGTGGGGGGGGGTCAGGGGGAGGGCTGTGCAACACAGAGAAGACAAGTAGTGATTTTACAGCATCTTGCTGCACTGATGGACAGTGACCGTGAAGGGGTATGGGGGGGCAGGACTTGGTGCAGGGGGGAGCCTAGTAATCATAATGTTCTTCATGTAATTGTAGATTAATGATACCAAAATAAATTAAAAGAAAAATAAAGAAATTAAAAAAAAAAGAAATGTACAGCCTACCATTTCAACCGAATAATATTCACAAAAACAGTGTTGCTCATCTACGGGGTGTCATAGCATCCTTGACAGACTAGCTTCTGAACCTGAGCTTGTATCAGAGAAGTGCTTACCACTGAACAGACCACATGCAAGTAACTGCCATTTAACAAAACAATATGTATATAATCATGTACACTCAATTACTGTTCTTGGTCTTCTGTAAGTTCATTAGCACAAATGATATGATGAAACTAGTCATGAGCACAACTTTTTAAAGGCCATTTTAAAACCTTGATACTTACAGATACATTAGCACTATCACTGCTTGCAATCTCAGCTGCTTTTTCGATAATCTGTTTAGGAGAAATTTTTAATTAAATTGTGTCTCTTGCATTTATAAAATATTAAATGTAAATGACTACACTTGGACTTAGACTACAAGGAACTACACATGGTCTGGTTTTAGAATGTAAACATAAATTTCAGATGTGAAATGGTATTATGCAGTGATGCACAATCTTCAAACTCTTGACAACCAGGAAACAATGGCATCACTATAAGGGACTGTAACTCCTAGGATTATCTGTAGATAAAATATGTGTCTTAAATATGTATGTGAAAAAAATTTAAATATAGCTAAATGTTTTCTGGTTAAGAAAATGCAAAGGTATGTCAGAGTTACTAAATATAGAACAAGTTTTGTCACTTGTTTTTATCTTTTGTTCTTAATTAACAGATACCAAAAGTAAAACTAATGTTGAGTGAGCCTAAAAGTATTTTTTAACACATTAAGTACAAAAGGGGCCCTGATTCTTAAAAATATAGGGACCCTCAGGTCCAATGGGAAGATCAGTTCGTAAACAATCTGAAGATCCATAACTGGTCCTGAGTTACATAATCCTAAGTGAATAATTTTACTGCATCCCCATTTGTAAAACATACTGATAATTCCCAACCTATTTCATACATTTGTTAAAATAAAATATTATACTTAAGAAATTAAACAATAACCATAAAATTGACTTTGTAAGAAAAACTGATCATAGCAAAAAATTTTCACTTTTTATGTTATTGTTTTTTCAATAAGATATGGAAGTTGTAAAACTAAAGGAAAATCAGTAAATATAAACCTATTTATAGATATTTAAAGACTACAATCTTTCAATTATAAAGGTCACAGGGATGAAAAGTACAATATAGGGAATATAGTCAATAATATTTTATTAAGTTTTTATGGCGACAAATGGTAACTATATTTATCATGGTGAGCATTTTGTATTGTATTTAAATGTCAGATCAGTATGTTGTATACCTGAAACCAATATAATATTATGTGAACTATACTCCAATTATTTAAAAAAATAAAAACTCCCCATGAGATTAGAAAGCAAAGGGAAAGTTTAGTGACCAGGTGTACATGATTTAAGCACTACCCAAATAAAACATTTTAAAGAACGGGGACTGCTCTTGAAATATTATATTTAAAATACTTAAGTTTGCACAGATGTTATATTTGTAAAAATTCATCATAAAGCATCTCAATTTGATTCAAAAGAAACTATAACTGATTACTAAACACCTAACATATTAATCTAAAAATGTGCATACCTCAGACTACTATATGTATCACAAGAAGCTATGGCTTATGGATAAATTCTATTCTGAGGAACAAAACCAGGGCACAATTGGCATAAATGTAATGGGTTAGTCAGAACTTACCTTTTTCTACTCAATGTACACTAAGGTATATGGTCATTGATAGAAATCTTGGGATTTCTACTGTAATAACCACAAAATTTTATTTGGTTGTATATTACTATCAGAAAGACATTTTAAAGTAATTTGAAATGAAAGTTACTTCTTAGATGAAACTCAAAATGAAAAGGGAAATATTATGTTATATAAATTAAGTTTATATACTATTTCAAATCTACTCTATACAGGTCTGGGAGAGCTGAACAATACATACAATTAAGTTTGTAAATTGATTAATTTAAATATGTAGTATTAAAATCGGATTTTAAATGCACCTTGTTCTCAAATGGATTAAGGAAATAAAAGGAGGTTCTTGTTATTATCTGAGAATTTGCTGAAAGATTTCCTCATAAAAATCAGGATCAATCACACCCGAAACAAAGATAACAAATCTGAAGATGGAACATATGACAGCTTAGTTCTTTTAGCATATAAATGATCACAGCCCTATTTTTAGACCCACTAGATACCCTCTTTATCCATAGGACATGCAGCTTGTAAACGGGCGTAGAAATGGAAGTCCTTGCCATGGATTCCGCAAAAATAACAGTACCTTAGTAAGTCCTATTAATAGGACTTCTGTTCTTTGAATATCAGTTCTAACACAGCAGTGATCATGTCCTTAATCTCTGCTCATGTTGGGGATGTTCCACTGTACATTTCACATGGTAAGAGTTATATGTGAATGCATTTAAGCCCTTTTATATTGAAAAGGACCTCAGAGAACAATTATGATTTCCTTCCTTTATAAATGAGTAACCTGAATTCCAGAGATGCCATGTCTCACTTGGTGGGTGATAAAGGCAGGACTAGAGTTGCCTCCCTCAACTGAACCACGCTGTCAATGTATGTGACATTTTAAAAGAGAAACAGACATACAGAGCTTAAACTGTAAACATAGAGAGCCAAAAACTCTTAATTCAATTACTTCATGAATAGGAGCCCTTAAAATAACTAGCTTACCTTATCGAAGGGAGGGTAATAATAAGGTTGCTTTTTATTATCTGGGAATTTGATATGCAAAGCTGTTGCATTTTCAGTATATGGATTTGTTTGAACAGTTCCCATTGGATTCAACATTTCTTCAAGTTCATCTAAAACATGCATGCAAATAGTTTTGATTCTTAAGAAAATGTTTTTGAAACTAACAACAAAGCCTTAATGGATTTCAATCATGAAAATTATTTTAATAACTTTCACCACAGGAAGTTTAGCAGACAATTGTATCAGTAAGACTCTAAATTTCTGTTAATATTTAGCACAAAATTTGGATGTTAAGTTTATATACATCTTAAAAATGAAAAAGTTTATAGCTACCCTCACCACTCTTCAAATCTGGTGATACTCCCAATCTTGGAAAAAAACTTAAATGGCACTGCTCTCCCTCCATCTTGGAATGGTCCATAGGAATTTTTATTATTTCATCATTACATATGGATTTCTTAATCACATGTAATCTGATTTCCATGGACATCATAGTACCATGGTATTTTACTAGTCATCAATGACATTCCTTTTGAAAAACCAATATTGTTAATTGTATGTTCTATAATCACATAACTGCTGATACAGTTAAACACCTTCATGGGTAATTTCTGTACCACTCCGTTCAAGTGGTAGTCCTTCAACCTCACCAGTACTTCATTCTTCAAGACACTCCTTTTCCGCCCACATCCTAGGCATGACCCATTCATAAAACTATGTACAGAAGTCTTAGATTTCAAGGCTGTCATAAATCCCTGGAGTTCTAATAATATAACTTTTTCATTTTACAGATAAACAACTGTTAAAGAGACATTAAACTCAAGAACAGAGCTAGCAATACAACCTTAAGTCTTGCATTTCCAAACTATTTTCTCTGTTCTTATACTGACTTTTAGCACAGTTACTCTCTGAACTTCCTAAGGAAATAAAAAAGTACATTCTGTCCAGGCCTAATGTCTAATTAGGATGCACATCAATTTACTAATCTCTGAGCATCACTTTTTTTATCTGTAAAATGCAGATAAAACCATCTACCTCATAAGGGTACTCTGAGTAGTATTTGAGAAATACAGGCACATGAAAAGTTTTCCTTTTAGCTCAACTTTCAGGCTAAAGCCAACTACAGAGTGAGTGTTTTTACGATCCCTTTCTATATTAGTGAAGTTCCTTCTATTAGCATAGAAATGTAGTACAACTAGGAGCAATAGAAGTTGTTATAAAGATGACACTATTTCTTAAGAATTTCTCAAAAACCTATAAAAACAAAACATTTAAAGGGAGAACACATTCATCAAAATAATGAAAATATTAAAATAGTCTGTGGAAATAAGTTTTAGAATACAAAATGCTGGTTTCTTTACTAAACTGAAGGAATAGTGACTCATTAAGAACACTAACTAGTCCACATCATGCCAAAAGTTACTCTTCAACAAGCAGGATTAGAATGTAAATCTTACCAGGAAATGAAGACCAGCTGTGCAATATTGTATCTCCAGATCTCAACTGACCTTTAAAGTCAAAAACCATGGTATTTACCCATGCTACGGGATAATGCTGTGGAAAAGGACACCATTGCATAAATATGCTAACAATGAATGTTAACATGTGAACTTGTACATGCCCCTTGTTTCAATAATGTTACTTCTAGAACTTTCCAGAGTTTTAAATGATTTTCCAAGAAATCACATAAAGTAAAAACAAAATGTACATGGAAAAATGTCCAAAATTTCTATACTGGCTTAAGAAGACCTTAAAAGCCATTTAATTGTATACTATTTTATACAATAAAATAGTGTATACAAAAAATGGAACATTTACTGTGCACCACTGCAGATGGGAAATCTTTAATGATTCAAGAAAATGTGACATAATGTCACGTATATGTTAAGACTTTTCAGCCATTATAAATCTTAATATAGGAGAATGTAGTTTCTTTAGGTATTACAGAATTCATTTATATTTCAAAAAGGAAGCACCAACCAGCGAAAACAGTTTTATGTAGACAATTAACTTGGTTACAGTGTCTGAAAACACTTGATAGAATAATCAAATGCTGTGGGTAAAATTCTGTATTTACCAGTGGAGAAAAACATACTAATTATCCAGTGACATTTTAGACAAGAAAATTTATTTTTAAATAAACTATATGATAGTAACCAGAAGAAATGCTTACTTTCTCATGTTAGGAATAAAAGGATACTCATTCATATAACCTATTTTTTTTTAAAACACAGGCACACATAAAATTAACTTCCCCATCCTTCCAAAAAAATTTCATAAGGGAAAAGATTTGACTGGAAATATGAAGTGGAAGATGAGAATACAAGAACAGATGTGCCATCCTTTATACAAAATTTAAAATCCAAGAAACTCAAAAACTAAACATTTGTTCAAAACATATTTTTGACAGTAAAAAATGGTCACAAATGTCATGAAGTTAACTGAAAGCTTTCATCTGTCTCATTTAGTGGATATTTACATATTTCACTGCTAGATACTGATTATGTGTATGAGTACAGATTTGTGCCCCAGACTCCACAAGTTTGTGCTGAAAGAAGTACAATCTATTATCTTCCTAAAATGTACAAAATTCTGAATTCTAAAAGACACATGGCATCTAGAATGTTATGGGACCGTAATCCTGTAATTTTTTAAATTTCTTTATAATTTTTTATACAGATCTTCGATACAGTATTACATTTATAATAGAACACCTAAAATATTTCCTAAAATAAACTTACACCAAAAGAGAAATGAACAGGACATAAAAATGGAGACTTAGTGTCTTTTCAAAATCAGATCATAGGGACCAAAGTCATACAATGTAATTTCACTTGTATTACTCAATTACTTCGGAGTCCTAAAATTATTCTACTACTATTATTCCATTGAATTATTCCATTATAAAAATGTGTTCAAAGTTAGTATGTAATTACCACTTTTCCAGATTTCCTGATGGTCTGATATTTAGAGGGATTAATAGTTTTAGTTGATTTCTTTGTTTTCACTTTATCCAAAACTGCATACACAGCAAAACATAATCGAGCCATTCGTGGAAGGTCACAAGTGCTAATATCAAATTCCAGTAGTTCATTCCAAATGTGATCACTTTTCCCTGATATCTCTGAGCTTACAATGGTTTTACACAGGAGTTCAGTACCATGAAAAAGGCCAGCCCTGACATGAACCTGTAAGAGGGAGACAAAAAATACAGCATCGTGAATATTGCTCCACTATAACACCTATATTTTGGAAAGTAAAGAAACATATAATGGGACAAGCAGCACAACAACTCTAGGAAAACCTATTTGTTCACTGAACCCAGAGACTGTAAATAACCAATATATAATTTACTAAACTATTATTTTAACATATTATTTCCTTAGGAAGTAGACCAGTTAAAAAATTCCATGGCTATGAAATTAAACTGGTAATAAAAAAACTACAAAAGATGAAAAACTATATGCTAACAAACTGGATAACCTAGAAGAAACGGACAACTTTCTAGAAAAAGACAACCTTCTAAGATTGACCAAGGACGAAACAGAAAATCTAAACAAACCAATCACCAGCAACAAAATTGAATCGGTAATAAAAAAAACTACCTATTATTATGTTTAGTACACACGGTATGGGGATTCAAGGGGAGAACAGTGTAGCACAGACAAGGGACATGGTGGATCTCTGGCATCTTGCTACACTGATGGACAATGACTGCATTGGGGTATGGGTGGGGATTGATAATATGGGTAAATGTAGTAACCACATCGTTTTTTCATGTGAAACCTTCCTGAGAGTGTGTATCAATCACACCTTAATAAAAAATTAAACAAAAAAAATACCCAAGAACAAAATGCCCAGTACAGATGGATTCACCACTGAATTTTATCAGACATTTGGAGAAGACATAATACCCATTCTCCTTAAAGTTTTCCAAAAAATCGAAGAGGACAAAATTCTTCCAAACTCATTCTATGAAGGCAGCATCACTCTAATACCAAAACCAGGCAAAAACACCACAAAAAAAGAAAATTACAGACCAATATCCCTGAAGAACATAGATGTAAAAATACTCAACAAGATATTTACAAACCGAATTCAAATGGTGTATCAAGGAACATACACCATTATCAAGTGGGAATTCATCTCAGGGATACAAGGATGGTACAACATTCGAAAATCCATCAACATCAAACGCCACATCAACAAAAAGAAGGACAAAAACCACATGATCATCTCCATAAATGCTGAAAAATCATTCGACAAAATTAAACACCCATTCATGATAAAAACTCTCAACAAAATGGGTATAGAGGGCAGGTTCATCAACATAATAAAGGCCATATATGACAAACCCACAACCAACATCATACTTAACAGCAATCAGCAGAAAGCTTTTCCTCTAAGATCAGAAACAAGAATACCCAGTCTGCCCACTTTTATTCAACATACTACTGGAGGTCCTAGCCATGGCAATCAGACAAAACAAAGAAATAAAAGGCATCCTGATTGGTAAGGAAGAAGTCAAACTGTCATTATTTGAAGATGACATGATGTTGTACATGAAAAATCATAAAGAATCTACTCTAAAACTACTAGAACTAATATCTGAATTCAACAAAGTTACAGGATACAAAATTAATACACAGAAATCTGTTGCATTCCTATACAGTAACGATGAACTAGCAGAAAGAGAAATCAGGAAAACAATTCCATTCACAATTGCATCAAAAAGAATAAAATACCTAGGAATAAACCTAACCAAGGAAGTAAAAGACCTATACCAAGAACTGCAAGACACTCTTATGAGAAATTAAAGAGGACACTAACAAACGGAAATTCATCCCATGCTCTTGGGTGAGAAGAATTAATATTGTCAAAATGGACATCCTGCCTAAAGCAATCTACAGATTCAATGCAATCCCTATCAAAATACCAACAGCATTCTTCATCAAACTGGAACAAACAGTTCTAAAATTCAAATGGAACCACAAAAGACCCCAAAGAGCTAAAGCAATCCTAACAAGGAAGAATAAAGCTGGAGGTATCTCATTTTCCAACTTCAAGTTCTACTACAAAGCCCCAGTAATCAAAACAATTTGGTACTGGCACAAGAAAAGACCCATAGACCAATGGAATAAAATAGAGAGTACAGATATTAACCCAAACATATAAGGTCAATTAATATACAATAAAGGAGCCAATGAATATACAATGGGGAAATGACAGCCTCCTCAACAGCTGGTGTTGACAAAACTGGATAGCTACATGTAAGAGAATGAAACTGGATCATTGTCTAACACCATACACAAAAGTAAACTTGAAATAGATCGAAGACCAGAATGTAAGTTATGAAACCATAAAACTCTTAGAAAAAAACACAGGCAAAAATCTCTTGGACATAAATACGAGCAACTTCTTCATGAACATATCTCCCCGGGCAAGGAAAACCAAAGCAAAAATGAACAAGTGGGACTATATCAAGCTGAAAAGCTTCTGTACAGCAATGGACACCATCAATAGAACAAAACGGCATCCTACAATATGGAGGAATATATTCCTAAATGACATATCCAATAAGGTGTTAACAATCAAAATACATAAAGAGCCCATGCACCTCAACAAAGAAAAAGCAAATATTCCAATTAAAAAGTCGGCAGAGGAGCTGAACAGACACTTGCCAAGGAAGAAATTTAGATAGTCAACAGACACATGAAAAGATGCTCATCACTAATCATCAGAGAAATGCAAATAAAAACCACAATGAGATATCACCTCACACCCGTAAGGATCGCCCTATGAATATTATTCAGCCATAAGAAAACAAATCCCACCATTTGCAACAACATGGAAGGGTATTATGCTCACTGAAATAAGCCAGGCAGAGAAAGACAAGTACCAAATGATTTCACTCATTGTGAAGTATAAGAACAAAACAAAACCTGAAGGAACAAAACAGCAGCAGACTCACAGAACCCAAGAATGGACTAAGAGTTACCAAAGGGAAAGGGACTGGGGAGGATGGTGGGAAGGGAGGGATAAGGGGGAAAAGGGGACATTATGATTAGCACACATAATGTCGGGGGTTTGGGGAGAAATGGGGAAGGAAGTATAGCACAGAGAAGAGAAGCAGTGACTCTATAGCATCTTACTACACTGATGGACAGTGACTGTAATGGGGTATGTGGTGGGGACTTGATAATACAGGGACTGTGGTAACCACAATGTTGCTCATGTGAACCCTGAGCATAAGACAGGATATCAATGATACCTTAATTTAAAAAAAAAGAGATGTATGCACCCCTGTTTATCTAAGCACTACTTGCAACAACCAAGATATGAAAGCAACCCATTTCTCCATCAGTAGATGAATGGATAAAGATGTGATACATATACACAATGGCATACTACCCAGCCATAAGAAAACAAATCCTACTATTTGCAACAACATGGATGGAGCTAGAAGGTATTATGCTCAGTGAAATAAACCAGGTGGTGATAGACCAATACCAAATGATTTCACTCATTTGTAGGGTATAACAATAAAGCAAAAAGGAAGGAACAAAACAGCAGCAGACCCACAGACTCTAAGAAAGGACTAGCCCTTACCATACGAAGTGGGTGGGGAGGGAGGAAGAAGGGGATTAAGTGAGATTATGATTAGTGGGGTCATGGGGAAGGCCATATAGCACTGAGAAGTAGTGATTTTACAGCATCTTATGCTGATGGGCAGTGACTGCAATGAGGGTGGTAAGGATTTGATAATACGGATAAATGCTGAAATCACAATGTTGCTCATGTGAAACCTTCATAAGATGTATATCAATTATACCTTCATAAAAAATAAATGTCAGGGGTCTCAATGATATAAATGGGATTAAAGAAACCAAGACCATAACTGAAGAATTATGCTTACTGCCACTGACTTTATTTACTTGGGGCGTTATCTCACTCTTCTGTGGAACTGGGAAGAAAGGGATAAATAAGATGTCTCCATGCAATTTGTGACAACATGGATGGACCTAGACGGTATTATGCTAAGTGAAATAAGCCAAGTGGAGAAAGACAAATACTGTATGATTTAACTTATTTTTGGAATATAAAAAACAAAACAAAATGAACAGAATAGCAGAACTCACAGACATTGAGAAGTGACTGGTGGACCATGGGGAAAGGTTAGCATGGCTGCATGGGGTGGATCATGGGGATAACGGGTATAAAAATTCTCACTCACAATATAAGTTGGTCATGGGGATGGTAGTACAGTATGGAGAATATAGCCAATGATGCTGGAACATCTTCCTATGTTGACATACAGTAATCGCACTAGTGGGGGTGAAGATTTCATAACATGGGTAACTGCTGAACCACAGTGTAGTATACTTGAAAGCAATACAAGATTGTTTATCAACCATACTTCAATTTAAAAAAAGACATCTTTAAAGTTTCACTTTATTCTAAGTGATTTATGAACAGGTCATTATAGGCAGCAACTAAAGATATTCTATCTGTATTTATGAGTACCATATGTATCACTGTCTTTCATATTTTCCTAAAGACTCAGTTCCACAGTAATGTAAAATGTCCCAGAAAATTGTATTTATTTGTTTATATAGCTTTATTATTTTTTAGACATGATCTACTTATCTCTAATTTTAAAGTGAGCGGCAAAAGTAGGACTAAAAACAGTACTAAAACAGAGACTGAGTCTATGAAATACTTTAAGGTCAAACATCTTTTATATAAATTTGACAAATGTGACAGTACGCGGTAGCACTAAGCAAATATTTACTGAATAAATGAACACAATTGTATTTAATAACCTATTGAAATAATTAAAATGTTATACTTACATAAGTTAAACTATAGGTTATTGGGGGGGGGCACGGGGAAGGCAGTATAGCACAGAGAAGACAAGTAGTGACTCTATAGCATCTTACTACGCTGATGGACAGTGATTGTAACGGGGTATGTGGTAGGGACTTAATAACGGGGGGAATCTAGTAACCACAATGTTGCCCATGTGATTTTATATTAATGATATCAAAAGAAAAAAAAAAGAAAAAAACTATAGGTTAGTACACTACATACTTTGTAATGTTAACGGAAAGAATGCCTTAGTCTAATAAATAGTATTTATATAACTACGGCAAAATAAATACAGATGGATTAAAGAGTTAAATATTTC